CTCCATGCAGTCCCTGGCTAGCAGGCCTGATTTTTAGATTAATTCTTAGGTCCTACCACCACTTGGCACTCTCCAAGCTGTCTGTGCCATCAGGCTCGCTCAGGATCACTGCCAGATCGCAGCTCCGGATGTCTCCTTTTTTGGTATTTTCATGCAAATTCTTCTGCTAGTTGGGGTTTAGTCTTCAAGGCTCAGGGGTCAGGATTATCTTCTGTGTCCATGTTAATTGGTTTCCCTTTTCTTTGTTGAAGAGGGTCTGTGCAGTCTTTCTCCCTATTGCGCCATCTTACTGGAAGTCGCCCCTGTTACTTTCTAAAAGTTCTACCCCTTTTTTTTTAAATTGTGTGTTAGGTGAAAGTTTACAGAGTAAATTGGTTTTCATTCAACAATTCATACATATTTTGTTTCTTGACATTGATTGCAGTGCACACAATGTAATAGCACGCTTCCCAACTTCCTCCCTGTGTTTCCCAAGCTTTTACATTTAGGTCTTTGATCCACTTTGAGTAAAGTTTTACATATGGTGTGATGTATGTGTCCACATTTCATTCTTTTGCAGGTGGAGATACAGCTGTCCTAGCATCATTGATTGAAGAAACTATTCTTTCCACATTGGATGAACTTAGCACTCTGTCAAAAATCAGTTGGCCAATTCTTTTCCCTTTTGTGCACATCACTGAAGTAGCAGTAGGAAGATTATGTCTTCTCTTTGCAAAGAACTGAGAGAGAAATACAGTGTTCAGTCCATACCCATCTGAAAGGATAATGAAATTCAAGTTGTGTGAGGACACTACAAAGGTCAGCAAATTGGCAAAGTAGTTCCAGTTTACAAGAAGAAATAGCTGCACTGAATGGGTACAGCGAGACAAAGCTCATGGTACAACTGTTCATGTGGGCCATCACCCCAGCAAGGTGGTTCACAGTTGGCTACAATTGGACAAAAACCACAAAAAGATCCTCGAGTGTAAAGTCAGATCTCATGAAGTAGGAAAAAAACATCAGTTGGTCATAAGTATATAGGTTCATTTCTGGACATGGTACATATTAAACAGCATAGTGGCTAAGACACTTGCCTGCTAACCAGACGGCTGGCGGTTCAAACCCACCAACCACTCCTTGGAAGGAAGGTTGGGCAATCCTACTTCCGTAGTGATACTGCCTCGGAAACCCAAGGAGGGGTCGCTATGAGTCGGGGCCGACTCGACGGCACATAACAACAACAACAACATACTTCCGAAGTACAGTAGTAAAGCTGTGAGAGCCAGAACTCGACAGGATTGCCTTGTTTCTCTGGGTCCCACAAGTTTTCTGCCTTTGACAGGGTCTTACCACTTTTCTATCACTCTCTATTGGAAAATATTTGTGTTTTCCTTCTCTGGCAGGTTTCTGCCTTACACAGGTTCCAGCTTTCACAGGTTTTACTGTACTTATCTCAGAGGACTGGTTGTGAGGCACACAGTAAGCACAGTATGGTAACTCTTACTATGGTAAGAGTCAGTGTCTACCTTGGCTTTGCAGATAACCCTGAAATTGTCTTCCTGGAAGGTATTTTGGACCCTATCCCAGAATAGGGAGAAAGTGGCTTTTTCCTAAAAAGTGGGTTTCATGGAGAAACGTAGACCCAGTAACTTGAATAATTTTCAAGGAAGCAGAGAAACCAGTTGAAACAGTGAGCAAGAAAGATTGTTTCACTGAAGGTCAAGTGGATGAGTCAGCATTTGTGGTTTTACACTACTGAAGCACTGCACACATGGGTGAAGCTGGGCCTATTAGTAACACACCTTTTTCTTGGGTTGTGCTACTGCTCTTTCCAGAGCAGCTTTCAGCCGTTCCTCCTGATGTTTTTGCTTTTCTTTCATTTTCTCTTCGCGCAACCTGTCACAAAGGGGGAGGAGATATTCTTGTAACTGTAAACTGCCGTTAAAAAGTAAAAATGATCTACATCATTACTATTTGGTAATGAACTAACTGATATTATACCAAAATCCAAACCCATTGCCATCAATGCCAACTCCTAAGACCTCTCGCAAGGTTGAATGAAAATGGCACTTCATCTTTACATAGAACTATTGCTATTGAATATTCAGGTGAAATCGCAACAATATACTATTTGTTTTGAAATAGGAAGAAATTTCATTTCTTTTTGTTTTGAGAAGAAGTAAAATCTACTTAGATCTTCGTCTAAAATGAGCACCTCAGTGAAGTCTTCTTGTCACGCCACTTCCTTACACTCCAGCACTTGACCGTTGGTCTGTGCAGTGGTCACTCAAATTAACTTCCATTCATTTCTCTCCCTTTAAAACCTTTTTACTGAAGTATGACAGACATGCATACATACAGAAAAGTACACAAACCACACATATAGAGTCCTAGTGATTAACATAAGTGTACTTTCCAGTTAATCTTTATACATGATATCCTCGAATTAGGACCAATAAATGCTATTTGTCTTTTTCTCAGAAGGAGGGAAAAACAATCAGATAGGTTCAGATCCCAGTTCAGATTCATTAGCTGTGCAGCCTTGGGCAAGTTTCTTCCCTCTCTGTGCCTCTGTTTCCTTATCTGTGAAATAAGTAAATGAGTACACCTCTTTAGGGCTGTTGTGTGGATACAATTAAAAGAGATAACCTGTGCAAGCTGTCTAGTACAATGCCTGGCACAGAATAGGCACTCAGTAAGTGATAGCTGTTTTATGGGCCTATATAATTAAATCATAAGGGATGGAAATAACAGCATTTTTATACCAAATTAGATGCTATGTTACCCACTGTTGAGTTGATTCTGACTCAGTGACCCTATAGGATGGAGTAGAACTGAACTGCCCCATAGGGTTTCCAAGCAATTTATAAGGCTGTCAGTCTCCACAGAAGCATACTGTCACATCTTTCTCCTGTGGAGGGCCTGGTAGCTTTGAACCCCTGACCTTTTGATTAGCAGCTGACTGCTTAATCACTGTACCACCAGGGCTCCTTAGATGCTGTTAGGTGTCTCTTTCAGTAAGAATTGATAAGAAACTGGAATTGTGTATCATTACAGAAAATGAGTTATAATTACACTTGGATAATATACTTGCTACTATAAAACAAGATGCAAGTGTTAGGACAATCAGTCATAGAGCACCACAGAAAGAATGATCTTTCATTTAAAATTTTAATATTTCATTAAAAATTTGTTTCATATTCAATAGAATCACATCAAGATCAACTGCTATATTCAGGACCTCATTTTGATATGGAGGAGGCAGTATCTCCCATGCGTTAGTGATGTAGGAAGCAATACCGTAACAGTACCAATGGCTGGTATTTGAGTACTCGTTATGTGCCAAGCATGTTTAATCGCTTCACATGGATTATTTAATCCAACAGCCCTAATAAGCACCATTTTTACTGCTATTTTCCAGATAGACACAAACTTAGGTAATATGGCCTGCCTAAAGTCCCTAAGCAGTAAGTACTGGAACCTGGATTGAACCCAGGCCACCCTGCTCTCATGCCCATGCTTGTGCCACAGTACCAGCCTGGCTTCCAACATGTTTTTTGCTGTAACATAAACATTATTCCACTAATGCATTCCCTGCATTACACTGATAACTACTGCCTCAGCCACTCTGCGGCAGGAAGATTAGGCAATCTATTTCAATAAAGATTTACCACCTCGGAAACCCAATGGGGGTCGCTAGGAGTCGAACCAACTTGATGGCAGTGAGTTTAGTTTTTGGTTTTATTGCCTCAGGAATAGTATGTATACAAAAGTCCTTATGTAACTCAGTGTGAAAATTTGTAAGTCAGGGCATTCTTCTGCAAGGCCACAAGCCAGGCAAGGACAGGAGTTTCACTGATGATAGTCCACATGGGATTGTCCTGAGAAATAGATGAGGTAACGTGTGAATGCTGTGCAAGTGCTGGTGATTATCTCCCGCACAAAGCCCTCACTGTGTGGCTCTGACTTTGAAGACTTTCTTGGTAGCCTGAGTCTCCCTGTCATCTTCCAGAGAAGGGTTCCTAATTCCGTGCCTTAAGCCCTTCAACAAAGTGCAAATTTTCCTTCCACATGACATCTCTTCAAAAAATGTTCATGTAACTGGTGTGTTCACCCTGAAGATTCTCTTCCAGGCTAAATCAGTCCCCTCTCCACCCCAGACTAAGTTAGTGGAACTGTGGTTTCACCCTGTTCCTTCCCTTCACAGTGCCCATTACATTACCACTGGTAATGAGACATTGATTTCATATGAGTATTTGATTAATATGTCTCCCGCACTAAATAATAAGATTTATAAGGAGGGCAGGGCTGCGTCTGGTTCCTCAACACTGTGTCCCTAACACTTAGCACTATCCCTGCCATAAAATAGAGACTTGCTGAATGTTTGTGGAATTCAAGCACAG